GGCCGGCTGGGCGGGAGCCCAGCCACTGCACACCAGCGGCCCTCATGTTCGGCTGGGAGATCCGAACCCCAGTGGACTTGGTGTTTGGACCGCCTCCTGAGCCCGAGATCCCTGGGGGACCAGAGCTGGATTACTTCCAGCGGCTGAGGGAGCGCTTGGGCTTGGTCCACCAGCTGGCCAGGGAGGCTCTGGTGGACGCTGGGGCCCGACAAAAAAGGGCTTATGACGTGAGGGCCCATGGACCTGTGTTGAGGACAAGGTGTGGGTTCCCCCAAAGGAAGCGGGGACAGTCACCCAAACTGGTCCAGCACTGGCAGGGCCCCGGTGAGGTTTTGGATCAACTGTCTGATGTTGTTTTCCAGGTTCGGATGCCGGGACGGGGTCGGTGTGTGGTGTTACACAAGGACAGACTGGCACCATACCACCCGCTGGCTCCTGGACTAGAGACTGAACCGGACCCGGAGGACAGCCCCCCCTCTCCTCTCCAGGTTAGTGACTCTGGTGGTACAGAGGGAGGGTCCAATGGTGGGGATGGGATCACCCGGCGGCCAAGACGTGTACGCCAGGTGCCAGAACATTTAAGGGACTTTGTGTTAGACGGTTGTGGGGGCACTAACCCTCTCTATGTGTCAGCCCTGTGATAGACCGGTGACCTGTCCCGGCTGTACCACACCTCTCGCCCAGTGCCACCTGGGTTTGGCTCCAGCCTCCCCCAAGACCCTCTTCAGGATAAGCGGTATAGGTAATGGAAGGGTATTTATGAGGCCTTTTGACAGCCAGTGGAAGTAATGCTGCATGTATTCAGCTGTTGAACAAAGGTATGTACACTGAAGATTATGCCATGCTTTTAGGAAGATCTACATATAGTAACATACAGTGAGTGCAGAAGCTATATAGTTTATGTGTGCATGTGTGTTTACAGGTTTTTGTAGCTGCCACTGATGCTTATCATAAATTGTTTTATTTGATCAACTACAATACCAGGCTGATTCTCATTGAAACCTAATGT